CTGATGGGGGAAGTCGTGGCCTAATGGTTAGAGAGTCGGACTCATAGCCCAAAGGTTGTGGGTTCGAGTCTCGTACCGGCAGGGATTGTAGGTGGGGGGAGTGAATGTAGAGTGCTCTCTCCCACCTTCAATACCACGCCTGAGGTGCCCTTGAGAAAGGCACCGAACCCTCAACTGCTCCCCGGGTGCCGCAGCATAAATGGCTGCCCACTGCTCCGGGTGTGTGTTCACGGTGTGTGTGTGTTCACTGCTGTGTGTGTGCACTTTGGATGGGTAAATGCAGAGCACTAATTCCGAGTGTGGGTCACCATACTTGGCCATGTCACTTTCACTTTTATGTCACTTTCACTGATAGGAAGACAATTATAGTTGTCACGATCACCAGATAGCCACCAGAGGGCACTCCATCCCTTACCTTTGCCACTTTAACATGGACTTCATTCCCCATAATCCTTTGCACACACTCATCAGCACTCATTGTTTGCACCTGTGTCTCGTTAACCCTGTCTGCTCACCCTTTATAAGCCTGGTTCATTTAGTCATTTAGTCATTCATTGCCAAGTCACAGCTGCAGTTCTTAACCATTTATCCTGGTTTTTGCTTGTCTTGTTTTCCTGGTTCTTGATATTCTGCCTGTTTACCTGGATTACTCAGTTTGACTCGGCCCTGAACTCCGTCAGTGTTTGGACTGCTCATTGTGTTTGACCTCATCCCTTATCCTTCTAATAAACTTGGATCCTCAGCCTTCATGTCCCCATGCAGCTTTGTGACAATAGTAATACAAGAGACGTGTGCCCAACCAAATGGAACACTAATCACCATAAACCGTTTTAGGGAAACAATTAATTTATGAAGTCTTGTGTGAACAAAATGTTTAGTTGAATTGACAATTTAACAAGATTCAAGATTATTTTGGAAAATAAGTGAATGTGGCTAAAGAGAAAGATAGAAAAACAAATTGAATTAAGATTTGTCCCACCTCAGAAATAAAATTTTTCTTGCTTGACATAATGGTACTTATACTAATGAAAAACTTATTTAAATACTTGACATACAAGTTTCAGTAGAGATTCTATTAAATTTTAGTTTACCATAAATGCTTGTCAGTACATTCAGCAGTATAGCCATATTTAAAACACAGTAAAGCAATTCTGAAACTACTTCAGCATCAAGCACTCAACTAAGTTAAACTAATTGCATTTAATATAAATGTAAACTATAATACTATATTGCTAATACTATGAACTATATTTCATTTAATTGCAAATAACATTCAATTAAGAGTCTGAAAACATTACATTCAGTCCAGGACAGTGTATTCTTTTAAATCATATAAATATAGCCATTATAAATAATCTTTTTAAATGTATGTTCAAGTGTACTTTTTTCAGAAGGTTTAATTGAACTAAAGACTGAACTAAGATTTCACAAAACTGAAAGAAAAAAAAGCAAAACGGTTTTATTTCCAAGATAATGATTCGAAGCCACATGCTGATTTAAGCATGCAATGTGATGAGATCATGTGACAAACTACATTAGGTCATGCGACAACAATGCAGCATGCATGCCATTTCATAATTATGGTAATTACTAGATGACAACCTGGGACGATTTAGCTGTTCACATCCTCAAACTTGGACTTATGCGACCCAATACTACAGTTTGAAACGTTTATTGTGGAATAATACCTGTTTCACTTACTGTTGTAACATACTGTAAGTTCTGAATCTTGGTTGATAGTGCTACACTTATGTATTGCATATGCAACATTCCTTTAATGTTTGAAAATCTCCCTCTGACCTACACAGTTGACTCACGTCATCCTTGCTCAGTGCATTGCGTGTTAGCCCAGACTCTTGTTAGCTCTTTTGTTTGCTTTCACTATTGTATTTTCACTGCTTTCCTTTGAAACCTTTTAAAAGTGCACTTGTGTGAGACTATCTGCAATGATTTTCACCTCAATGTCAAATGGCACTTGGCACCCCATAGTGAATTTCTTGCCATTTATTTCTTAATGCGAACTTTTGGACATTTTTGTCCTTTTCAGTTCTGTTTTTTTTTATCATTTTGCCTGTGTTATTGCCAACTGCATAAATTTTGGCACAGGTGTGTATTTTTATTGGAATTTTAGTATTTCACTACCATTTCCTTTAATAAATCTGTTTTGCACTAGATACAAAAAATCGTTCCGTCCCCATTGAAACCCATTAAAACTCTTATTTGTAATCGCAGTGCCATTTAACTGTAAAATTAAGCAATTTTTGTTGATAGGCTTTCATTATATTGGCAACGCTTTCAAATTTAATTTTTACCAGATGCTGCCATTTTTGACCTATAAAGAAAATACTCGCTTTATTTCTGTTTTCTGCTTCTGCATATTATAGAGCCAATTGGATAAATAATGCAGCTATAATTGTGTGGATGTGTTGGTATGGATGTCAGAGTGTGGTTTGTATGTGTGTCATAAAAAAAAATTTGTGTGTGTGTGCATGTGTGTTCTTGTAATATTTGAGAGAGAAAAACTCTACTGCAAATCACAAATCCAACCACTGTGTGCACCAGCAGAGTTTTGCTGACATCTAATGGGGAAAATTTGGTACTGCGCCCAAACAAAATCTTACTGAAAGCTCATTTTTTGAGATATCAACCTCAAATTTGGAATACAACTTGTATTCATGGCTTTGATTTTCTAGCAGGTATAGAGTTCAACATGTTTCATAAAATATATATTTTATATAAAACATCGTTCATAAATCATTTTCATAAACCTAAACATCTAGAACTTTTTTTTTGGTTTCACTTTTTAAACTTTTTTTACGTCAGCATTAATCTGCCATGGGTCTTCTTTAAAATGAGACCAAACTTAACTCTGTGCTCCCCATATGTACAGAGTATGGAAGGCGGACGAGGACAAAACCCTTTAAACAGAAAGCGTGAAATCTAACCGTGTCAACTCAGTTTGGCTGTGTCAGCGCATCAAAAAGCACAGCAGCCAATCAAATTGCTGTATTTGAGACTGCATTTGCATATGCGACGTGGTGATACCTTGGGATATATGTATATTTTCTTCAATGTTCAGTGAAAAACCAATGATGACATGATGATGAGGTGACACACATCATATTTAATTAAAACACTTTTTACAGAGTATATTATGAGTACAGTCTTCATCTCATTCTACACATACAGATGACTCCACAAAAACATAGTGTATTTCTTTCTAAATTAGCACCAAACTTCTGAATGCACCTTTGAGTGAAAAAATGACTATTTAATCTAAGATGTATGTGTGCTATGTATTTATTTATTTTACTGTATTTATTGCTTATCAGATGACTATTGTAGCTATATAGCTTAGCAATACATAATGATAAACTCTTGCATTTTTTGTCGGGTTTTGAGGTCATGCTAGTGCACTCCTAAATTTGACATAAAAACAAATCATGGTTTAGAGCTTTAAAGGTAAACTAAAGGCTCTTGGCTATTATTTTCTCTTCTACAGGACAAAGACCAAGAGAGGCCTCAGGAAGTGAATGCTGTGCTGAAAGAAGACTCGACTCCTCACAAACCCACAGAGATCATGAAGAGACTGTCCTGGAGAGCTGTGTATAGTATTCTGATGCTTTTAGTTAGTCCTCACTGAATAAACACTGTCGATTTTGATTGAACAACTAAACAAAAAGAATAAAAAAAGAAAGAAAATGAAGCAGAAAAAGTGATTTTGTTAACTTGTGAACAGAACCGTTCAAAAGTTTAAAGTCAGAAAGAATCTAACGCTTTTATTCAGCAAGGATGCATTAAATTGACCAAAAGTGATGGTAAAGACATTTATAATGTTACAAAAGATTTATATTGCAAATGGAGTTCTTTTGAACTTTTTATTTATCAAAGAATCTTAACCCTTTTGGACATTTTTGTCCTTTTCATTTTTTTTTTTTTTTATTATTTTTGCTGTGTTTTTGAGCATTTTGCCTGTGTTATTGCCAACTGCATAAATTTTGGCACAGGTGTGTATTTTTATTGGAATTTTAGTATTTCACTACCATTTCCTTTAATAAATCTGTTTTGCACTAGATACAAAAAATCGTTCCGTCCCCATTGAAACCCATTAAAACTCTTATTTGTAATCGCAGTGCCATTTAACTGTAAAATTAAGCAATTTTTGTTGATAGGCTTTCATTATATTGGCAAGGCTTTCAAATTTAATTTTTACCAGATGCTGCCATTTTTGACCTATAAAGAAAATACTCGCTTTATTTCTGTTTTCTGCTTCTGCATATTATAGAGCCAATTGGATAAATAATGCAGCTATAATTGTGTGGATGTGTTGGTATGGATGTCAGAGTGTGGTTTGTATGTGTGTCATAAAAAAAAATTTGTGTGTGTGTGCATGTGTGTTCTTGTAATATTTGAGAGAGAAAAACTCTACTGCAAATCACAAATCCAACCACTGTGTGCCCCAGCAGAGTTTTGCTGGCATCTAATGGGGAAAATGTGGTACTGCACCCAAACAAAATCTTACTGAAAGCTAATTTTTTGAGATATCAACCTCAAATTTGGAATACAACTTGTATTCATGGCTTTGATTTTCTAGCAGGTATAGAGTTCAACATGTTTCATAAAATATATATTTTATATAAAACATCGTTCATAAATCATTTTCATAAACCTAAACATCTAGAACCTTTTTTTTTGGTTTCACTTTTACTTATACAATAATCTGCCATGGGTCTTCTTTAAAATGAGACCAAACTTAACTCTGTGCTCCCAAGCTTCAAATTTGTATGAGTTTTTTGACATGGACATTTTTGTCCACTATGTGTAACTTTTTTTAATTGACGCACAAGGGTTAAACACTTTTATTGCATATAGATATTAGGCTCTCTCTCTCTTCCTCTGTCTATATTTCGTACAAAGTTCTAAATACATTTTTACCTTTTTACATAAACCATCAGTCATCATTAGTCATAATCAAAACTATCTTTTCTGTTCTTGCCTAGTATTTCCTTCAGGAAATGTTTTCTTCTCTCTGTTCAGAGCGCAGGTGTGATGTCTGTCTACCTGTTCATGAAGCGTTACACAGCGGAGGAAATCTACCAGCCCCACCCCAGCTTCTACCGGCCGCGCCTGAGCAACTGCTCCGATTACTCGGGTCAGTTCCTTCAGCCCAACGCCTGGACGCGGGGACGCAGCCCGTCAGACATCTCCAGCGACACCTCGCTCCAGATGAACGCCAGCTACCCTGCCCTGCTCAAGTGCCCTGACTACGCCCAGGTGTCTTCCTCTCCCTGCTGAAGCACAGGAAATGAGTTCAGTGTTCATCAGAACTGAGTTTTAAACATATATGTGTGTCTTTGCCTTATGATAGGGAACAGACTGATAGAATGTAGGATTGTAATTTTCCTGTTCTGTAGTGAGCTTGAACTGATGACTTTGTTCCAACAGGTGGCAGTATAGTATTCTTCTCTGGAGTGATTCACACACTAAGATGTATAATCATTGAAGTTTAATGTACAACTGAGTGTCGATCCATGTAAATATGTATGGTGCTTATACAAATATGAATTGTAGCCGTTATGGAACACTAGCCTTCAACTAGATCAATATGCTTTCAAGAATAGCCTAAATGTATTTGTAATGTGTATTATATATGTATTGTGATTATAATATCTATTCGTATCAAATTGTATTCTTATAGAGGTTGTTCTGACAAAATTATTAGTAAATAAGTGCAGAAATTGTCTTTATCTATAGAACAAAATGAACATGCAATTTACATATAATGGATCAAATACAACGGAACAAATGTACCATGAATCTCACTAATATCGTGCACAGCTGAAATGAAACGCATCAAAAGTAGAACAACTGTAAAAATTAAACTGCCAATCTTTTAAATATTTGTGATGAGATTGTAATAATATATAGTTGTCCACAGCTTACTTAAATTCATTTCTTTTCTGCCATTAATATAAAATGGACCAAACTGAAACAGTTCTTTGTAGACATTCAACATTTATTTGGTTCATCCATGTTTGATAAAACATAGCACAACACAGTACAGTACACATATATTACAAACGTTGCTTTTCTCATGTTTATTTTTATGTAAAGCATGTATCTGAAATGTTGTTTTGTGTTTTTTCATAGCTATGATGACGCTTTTTACATTAATATTTTGTATTGCATTTACAGTGCAATGGATATAATCTATACATGTTACAAACCTTTTCTGGTTTTGCTCAATTCTTCAGTAGACATCCTTTTATTACTGTAGATTCCAGCTCCGCTTACTGTTGGCTCCTCAAAACCAGCTTTTCACTGTTCATATCTCTTAAATACACTGAAACTGTTCGATTTAATGCTCAGAATGTGATTTAGTGCGATTTCAAAAAAAGTAGTGTGTTCATTCTATGATCAAAGTTGGATCATATAGCTCTGTGTTATGTGTGAGGGGAGGAAAAATCACTCATGAAACGTTTACCTTTATGAATGTTTTATGTATTCATATTTCATGTACAGTTTGACCAATAGTTTATACAGACATATAAAAATTAATCTGGAGCCCCAAAGGGCATTGGAGATAGTATTCTGCCCTAGGACAGGGCTGTTATTTTACAACCACATATAAATGGCTACTGGATTAAAAAAAACAAAACAAAAAAAAACTTAATTTTCCAGAATTGCAAGGTGTTTTTCCCTGACAGAAGTACATTAGTTTAAGGCTGCTGAGCAAAGAGCCCTAACATTAAAAAGCCAGTAGATTTATATGCTACAGATTGTACTTACACACACAAAAAAAGACAAATGTTTACATTATTTACACATAACTTAGATCTATAGTTTTCCAATTATGAGTAGAATAAAATCATTTCACGAAGAAAATAAATATAAAAAGATATTCAACTATACTTGTCATAAGAACACAAAAGCAAGCAAATTCATTCAAATTACATCAACACATCATAGATAGTGTTATCTAAGACCAGAACGGAAAGGTTAGAAACTAAATTTATGTGTTCTATATTTGCTGTTTCTTACTGTAGCAACATGAAATCAGTCCAGCTGACTCCAGACTGCCACCTAGTGTTAGCATTGGATCATTAATGTCGATTTGAGCTTCTAGTGCTGAGGTCACATGCACGCAGGAAGTCTTAGCACCATACGAGATAACGGCCACGCAGGCTTATTAGGGCCTTTCGCACCGCGGGAACCTTTTCATAGTACCAGAACTAATTGTGGAACTACCCACTTTTTGGCGTTTTCGCACCGCCGGAACTGGGTGTGATTTTAGTACCGGACTGCCTTTTTCGAGAACAAAATTAGCCCCTACTCCGGAGCAGGGTCTAACCAGCACAACTGGTACTAATCGTGACGTAAGTAGACATTGATTGGCCAAACGCATACGAAAACGCCCTCACCCGCCATGATTTAAAACGCTGTGTAAACATACTGTAAACATTGTGTCAACTTATTTCGCAAGTATGGAGAACAGCGATAGATGGACGGACGCTGAAGTGCAGGCACTTGTAGCACTGCCAGTTGTCGTTGGAGATTCTTAGTCCTCCTTTCCGTTCTTTCAGTCGCTTTATGTATACGTCGACTTCCATGTCCATTATTGTGAAACCCGCGAAACACAACAAAAACACAGCTTCGATCACAGCGTCCTCCATCCTCCTGTTGTTAACGTTGTTCTTCTTTGTTTCCGTTGTTGAACGCCGCGCACAAATGACGTCGCTGTCGACCGGCTTACGTCACTTCTTAGTACACACTGTCGGTGCGAATGCAACCCTTTAAATTGTACTGGAAAATAGTTCGTGCAAAATCATCCCAGTACTTTAGTACTGTACATTTAGTTCTAGAACTAAAGCGGTGTGAAAGGCCCTATTGTCTCAGAGCCCTGTGCGATCAGGTTGCTGTGCGTCGGAATGGGTCTAGTCTCTTGAAATTAATGGCTTTTCTATCTGACATCTCTAGTGAGAGATCATAAACGACTTCCTCTGGGGCCTCGTTTATAAAATACTGTGTAGAAAGCATCCTAAATGTGATTTTACGATCATTTCTCAAAGTGCGTAAGTGTGATTCATAGAACGAACTCTGCGTATGCCTCTGTTTTAGATGTGAAATCTATAAATAGCAATGATCTTGAAATTGTGCGCATGCAGCTCAACAGTTTCAGATCTCCACCTTGTAAACGATGTCTAATTAATGTCATTGACTTATAAAAGCGCACCTGACAATGTCCAAATCTTTTACAAGCGGCAAGAACATAGACCAGGGGTGCCCAAACTCGGTCCTGGAGGGCCGGTGTCCTGCAGAGTTTAGCGCCAACTTGCCTCAACACACCTGCCTTCAAGTTTCTAGTATGCCTAGTACAGGGGTGCCCAACCCTGCTCCTGGCGATCGACTGTCCTGCAAAGTTCAGCTCCAACCCTAATCAAATACACCTGAAGCAACTAATTAAGGTCTTCAGGATCACTGAAAAATTAAAGGCAGGTGTGTTTGATTAGAGTTGGAGCTAAACTTTGCAGGACAGTCGATCGCCAGGAGCAGGGTTGGGCACCCTTGGCCTAGTAAGAGCTTGATTAGCTGGATCAGGTGCGTTTAATTGGGGTTGGAGCTAAACTCTTCAGAACACCGGCCCTCCAGGACCGAGTTTGGGTACCCCTGACATAGACTGTATAAAAACATGGACGTAGTGTCCGTGACGTCACCCGTAGGGTTCCGAAGAGAGTTTTTGAAGCTCAAAAGTGGGCGGAGGTGGCCGTCACCATCTTGGCAGCGCATCACCGCGCGTCACTTCCGGATAATCGAAGATGGGCAAAGAGGCGGGAGCTGGTTGTTGAAACCATGCCCACCTAGCTCGATGGTAGCTCAGCGGCAATCCACCTGTCACTCAAGTGGCCACGCCCTTAATTATGCAGAACTTTAAGGCTTAATATAATTTAAACGGATGAGTTATAAAAAAATCACCCCCCTCACAGTTGTCATGAAGGGCAAAATTAGCTATATAGACCAAAATAATTTTTTTAACCAGGCTGTAACCATGTTTTTTCTGCTGTAAAGTTGGGCATTTTAACATGGGGAGTCTATGGGATTGACTCCCTTTTGCAGGCAGCCTCTAGTGGCCAGTTGACGAATTACAGTTTAAGTCACTTCCTTGTTGGCCTCACGAGAGAGAGCGGGAGGTTGCCACTTGGGCAAGAATGGCTTATATTTCCAAAAACCTGCAGCACTCGGGCAAACAAAAGTGCGTACGTCTGCTCAGACACTGATGTGGCGCTACGCTCTTTTCCATGTCAAAGACCGTTTTTATAAATATGAACGTTGCCATGGATTTTTGCGTACACACACTCTACGATCAAATTTGTGCGTACGCACGTTTTATAAATGAGGCCCCAGGACTCTCGAGTGAGCCGCCCAGGTTTTCACACCAACATCCATGCAAATACAAACAGAGCAGGACAGCTGTGTTTTTGTACGAATAGAAACACAAGAAAGGAACTATAAACATGAAATCTTCCGCTGCTGGGCCCATCAAACGCACACTCGCACAACGGCTGTCCCAGAAGGCAGTGTGTGTGTTGCAGGCTTTGGGGAAGCGGTTTGGATGCAGATTTCACTTCTTGTTGGCAATTCGTCTCTTCCTGGTGGCCAGCATGTCATAGAAGGGGTCCCGGCTGATGCTCGCTCTGAAGGAACCAATTAAAGGAGATGTGAGGAGAGGCAGAGAGACTTCGGCATCTTTGATATGGAAATGTAGCACATAATATATACTACTACACACCCCTGTCTTAACGGCATCATAGAAAGTAGTTTGTTCAGTGACCCAGTTTGGTTTCCATGGTTTCTGAGGGCAGACCCCGCCCCTGTTTAACCCCGCCTCTCGTTTTTGATGGGCGTTTCAGTGCAAGCTGACCGCTAAGGCCACACCTGCTAAGATTAAAGGCTGATCAGCGACCGATATCTAACGTTCCTGTAAGGGTGAGTGCTCTACAAAGAGCTCTATGAAGAGTCACGAATGCTCTGCTGATGTTGCCTCAGTTTTCACGACTAGAAATCTTGTTAGCACTGCTCATAGTGTGAAACTCATCCTCCACTGCAGGAAGTGCTTCTTACATTGTGAGGAGAATACAGCTGTGTTAGCTGCCTATGTAGGCAGCATTTTAAGGCATCACATGTGCGCTCCAGACACGTAGATGGCAACATTATGCTGCTTTATAAGATACCTTGCCAAAATCTGAGGCGGCATCACGTATAATTCATTTACTAGGTAATCCCATAATGCACTGTGATAAACTCAGTGTAAATGTACTGTATTTAGTTTAATGCCATTTATTTTTCATATGTATTACAATATTGTGCTGTTAGCTTAGCAACATGCTAATGTTAAAATCTACTGGAATGACAAATGACAAACACTTGTGTTGTGTGTGTGGCATGAGTACACTTTAGCATACTTTTAAATCAGTGTGCTTTATCTCCAAGTTAAAAAATAAGTTTTAAAAGGTAAAACTTTTAATTTAACCCTATTACTTTTTAAATAATGGAATTACAAACAGTCATGAAGGTGGGCTTTTATTCATTCATATTATTTTATCTGCAAGTACAGTTCTGTGCAGCTCACTAGGTTTTAGGACAGAGCTATGCTCTTCCTTTTTTGAAACTCTCTTCATCTCTCTAAAAAAAGAAAACTAAAAATAGTTGAGTTCTTGGGAGATGCAGAGCAGAATGATTATTCTTTGTATCTTTGTTATGCAGAGGCTGCTGAGTGTGTTTGTTTTTGAATGTGTTTCATTTCCACACTCTAAGTTTGGAATAGTATAGTATTGCTTTAGTATGTAATATCTGAATCTGAGTTTTTGATTGGACTGTCACAAATTAAAATTAAAAATGCAACAATTAAATTTTTCCCCCCAAAATTCCAGTAGCCCCTCACTGCAGAACAAAGATCCAGGGGGCGGGGTTGGATCCACATCTAGAGGGTGGAGATGGGTGGGTTTAGGGATCAGGGGGTGGAGACGGGTAGGTTTAGGTACATGT